GTAGAGTGGTTGGCCTCCAACTAATAAAAATAAATGAAAAAAATAATAAAAATAATAAAAATAAAATTTGAAATGTACAAAAAAAAAATCAATACCTCTTAAAGTCAAGGCTGTATATTGTCACCCTACTTACTTAACTTATATGCAGAGTACATCATGAGAAATGCTAGGCTGGAGGAAGCACAAGCTGGAATCAAGATTGCTGGGAGAAATATCAATAACCTCAGATATGCAGATGACACCACCCTTATGGCAGAAAGTGAAGAACTAAAGAGCCTCTTGATGAAAGTGAAAGGAGAGTGACAAAGTTGGCTTAAAGCTCAACATTCAGAAAACTAAGATCATGGCATCCGGTCCCATCACTTCATGGCAAAGAGACGAACAGTGGACACAGTGGCTATTTTTCTGGGCTCCAAAATCACTGCAGATGGTGATTGCAGCCATGATATTAAAAGGCGCTTACTCCTTGGAAGGAAAGTTATGACCAACCTAGACAGCATATTAAAAAGCAGAGACATTACTTTGCCAACAAAGGTCCGTTTAGTCAAGGCTGTGGTTTTTCCAGTGGTCATGTATGGATGTGAGAGTTGGACTATAAAGAAAGCTGAACGCTGAAGAATTGATGCTTTTGAACTGTGGTGTTGGAGAAGACTCTTGAGAGTCCCTTGGACTGCAAGGAGGTCCAACCAGTGCATCCTAAAGATCAGTCCTGGGTGTTCATTGGAAGGACTGACGTTGAATCTGAAACTCCAATACTTTGGCCACCTGATGGGAAGAGCTGACTCACTGGAAAAAGACCCTGATACTGGGAAACATTGAAGGCAGGAGAAGGGGACAAGAGATGATGAGATGGTTGGATGGCATTACTGACTCAGTGGACATGGGTTTGGGTGGACTCTGGGAGTTGGTGATGGACAGGGAGGTCTGGCGTGCTGCAGTTCATGGGGTTGCAAAGAGTTGGACACGGCTAAGCGACTGAACTGAACGGAAAAACAACATACTTAGGAATAAACTTCACCAAGGAAGTGAAAGACTTAAATATGATGAGAACTATAGAACATTAATAAGCAAAACTGAAGATAATTCAAAGAAATAGAAAGATATCCCCTGCTCTTGGATTAGAAAAATTAATGGTGTGAAAATGTCCATACCACCCAAAGCAATCTACAGTTTTAATGCGACCCCTATCAAATTACCCATGACATTTTTCATAGAACTAGGACACAGAATCCTAAAATTCAAATGGAACCGTAAAAGACCCAGAATTGCCAAAGCAGTCCTAAAGAAAAACAAAGCAGGAGGCAAAGCCCTCCTAGACTTCAGACAGTACTATAAGCTATAGTAATCAAATCTGGCACAAAAACAAGACACATGGATCAATGGAACAGAGCAGACGGCCCAGAAATAAACCCACACCTACAATTAATTTTTGACAAAGGAGGCAAGAATATACAATGAGAAAAAGTCTCTACAGCAAGTGGTGCTGGGGAAGTTGGACAGCTGCATGTAAATCAATGAAGTTAGAACACAGCCTCTCACCATACGCAAAAATACTCAAACGGCTTAAAGACTTCAACACAAGACACCATAAAACTCCTAGAAAACACAGACAAAACATTCTCTGTCATAAATTGTACCAATGTTTTAAGTCAGTCTCCCAAAGCAACAGAAATAAAAACAAAACTAAACAAATGTGACCTTATCAAACTTACGAGCTTTTGCATAGGAAAGAAAACCATAAAAAATCTAAGAAGCAACATATGGAATGGAAAAAATACTTGCAAATAATGCAACCAACAAGGGCTTAATCTCCAAAATATATGAAGAGTTCATACAACAATGAAAAATTAAACAATCCAGTCCAAAAATGGGCAGAAGACTTAAACAGGCATTTCTCCAAAGAAACACAGATGGCCAATATGCACATGATGAGATATTCAACATCACTAATTATTAAAGAAATGCAAATCAAAACTACAGTGAGGTACCACTTCTTAACAGTCAGAATGGCCATCATTAAAAAAACGTACAAACAATAAATGCTACAGAGGTGTGGAGACAAGGGAACCCTCCTACACTGTTGGTGGGGGATGTAAGTTGGTATAGCTACTGTGGAAAAGTGTGGAGGTTCCTCAGAAAACAAAATCACCAAGTGATCCAGCAACCCCACTCCTGTGCACATATCTGGGCAAAACTGTAATTCAAACACATCCATACACCCTATGTTCATACCTGCACTATTCACAATAGCCAAGACATGGAAACACCCTAAATGTCCATCAACAGATAAAGATGTGGTATATACACACAATGGAGTACTACTCAACCGTAAAAATGAATGAAAAATAATACTTGCAGCAAAAGGGATGCAACTAGAGATTATTATGTTAAATGAAGTAAATCAGAAAAAGACAAATAACATGATATCACTTACATGTGGAACCTAAAATATGACACAAATGAACTTATCTATAAAACAGAATCACAGACATGGGGAACAGACTGGTGGTTGCCAAGACGAAAGGACAGAGACGGAGGTTGAAACTAGCAGATGTTAAGCTTTTATATATAGAATGGATTAAAAAAAAAAAGTTCTACTGTATGGCACAGAGAACTAAATAGTCTATGATAAACCAAAATGGAAAAGAGTATTAAAAAAAGAATGTATATGTAACTGAATCACACTGCTAGACAGCAGTAACACATTATAAATCAACTCTACTTCAGTAACCAAAAAACCCTGTAATTTGTGACCAAAGCTTTCACCTAAAATGGGTCTGCCAGAGCAATCTGCCCAGAAATGGCCAACAGCAAGATGGTAATTCACCAATACAGAAACTCCCTAACACATTCCCTTTCCATCCTGCTTCCCAGGTGCTAACAGGGAGCTATGTTCTCCAGGTCTCTCTCCCCAGTCTGGTAGTGGCACATCAGTCTCCCCTTCCAAGTGAACTTCTCTAGGGCAGACTAGAGAAGAACTTCTCTAGGGTCCAGTTTCTCTCTGTTCCCCTGCATTTAGCAAAGCTTGATGAATTGATCCCAGTCCTCTGTGAGCCAATTAAAAAAAAAATTACTTATTAATCTTTTCACATTTGGGTTCTGCTGGGTCTTTGCTGCTGCGTGAGTGCATTCTCTAGTTGTGTTGAGTGGGGACTACTCTCCGTTGAGGTTCACAGGCTTCTCACTGCAATGGCTTTTTTGTTGTGAAGCATAGGCTCTAGGTGCAAGGGCTTTAGCAGCTGTGGTGCTGGGCTTAGTTGCCACGCGGCATGTGGAATCTTCCTGGACCAGGGATCGAAACCATGTCCCCTGAATTGGCAGGCAGATTCTTACCCACTGTACCACCAGGGAAATCTTGAGCTGAGATCTTGAGGCCAGAGCTTCCCATTGGCCCCCTTTCCTTTAAGCTCTGTGGTCCACCTGCTCTACCACAGGGAATCCACTCTTTATGTGGATCATGGGGGCTGGCAGCTGTGTAGACTCACATCTCTACTCATACACTTTTGGGGCAATAAAACTCATAGCAGGATGCCCTCAATATTCCATCACTTGCCAAGATCATCGCCCATCTGCTAGACAGAAGTGGTCATCCTGGAAGCACAGCCTGCTTCTGAAAGAGGCCTGCGCTGCACAAAGTTATGCACACAGACCCCTCTGGGCCCCTGGTTAGGCAGGAATCACACAAGTGGGGGTGTTCGGAGCACTTGTTAATCCGTTATGATTTATTAGCTGTACAGCAGTAGATCCTCCTCCCCAGCTTTCAACCCCATTACATATTTTATTACAGGTCTCATGTTGGTGTCCTAAAATAATGAAAAATATCACACAGTACAGCTAAGTACAAAATACATCAACCTAGAGTCTGATAGCTAACTGATGGCTCTCTTAAAAGCAATACACAGAAGAAAAAAGTGTTTGAAATCAGCAAGACTGAGGCTCTCTAAAAAACACATTTTAAACATGTGACAGTTCATGTGCAAGAAATCACTTTGAGTTGGTTTTGCTTCACATTATTATTTTTTTGAAGATCCGAAGTTTAAATTACTGACCTAGTGAAATTTCCTGGCCCAGCTTTTAAGAGCTGCTGTGACCCACTCATAATCACCCTTCTGCTTCAACAGAGGATTTATAAAACACGAAACTCAGCTACAAACAAAGCAAAGAAAATGTAGATGGGAAACCATAACTGAAAGTTAATTGTACAAGGTTCAAATGCTGGCTCCATGGGTTGGAAATCATGATGTTCCATGTGGGTGTCCGTCACTAGCGGGCAGCAGTCTCGGTGCCGTTCTGCGACATGATTGTGATCCAATTCCTCGTCAACGTTTACAAACTACCGTCTGTAGTAACTTAATTTGCAAGTAATTAAAATGCTGGGTTTTCTTACACTGCACTTCTTTTCAACCTCGTAATTAATGGAAAAGATTAAAATGTAAAAAAAGTTATTTACAAGCTTGACCATACCAGAAACTTTGCCAAGAAAGAGGCAAAGTCTTCAGGACAGAAACCAATCGTAGCATGCCATACTACTGGTGTGCAGCTGACTCCAAGCAAAGGGAGTCAGGGAAAAGCAAAAGCAAAAACCAGTTTAAAAGTCTAAGTCCTTCCCAAGTCTGCATTTACAATTAAAAACTCTTCTGGGAAGAAGACCGTAAGAACTCTGGGAAACCGGGTGGTGGTTTCTGGAGTGGTTTACCATTGCAAGAGAGAGGGTTCAATGTCTCTGTTTCCATCTAAGAAAACCAGGGAGGTGTGAACACTGTCCTCAGCACTTCACAGTAAACCCTCGGACTCAGAACATTCCATGATTTGCTAACATCAAACAGCAAGTTCTAGTTAAATCACATTTTCTAACATCATCCTTGAAGTTTTAGTTCTCAGTATGTTTGGTAAAATGATGCTTTTCCCAAAGCCAAAAGAAGAAAGAAGGGAGGAAAAGTAAGATGCAGGCCGTTTAAACACAGCCCAGAGCAGTTCTGGCAAGGAGCGAGGCCCCGCCATCACCGGTCCATCATGCTGAGGATCATCTCAGGCGTGAGGTCTCCGTTGGGGGCATCTGTGGCAGCTGGCTGGGTCTCCTCTTCCTCCCCCTCTGCAGGCTCTGCGTCTGGCTCTTTTTTGACTTCAACTATAATGTTCTCAATTGCACCTGTATTCTGGTCTTCGACCTGAATGATGGCTGTTGCTGGCAAAGAAGAGCATGAAGAAAACAAATGCTCCATTAAAGCCCCCAAGAATTGCAAGGGTGTTTTCAGACTTGACACTAAATGAAAAGTCAGCAACACCGGAAAGCCTCAGTTTCGATACAGAGAACGTCAATAAAAAAGACTTAATAATCTATAATGTGGCCATACACAAAGCCCAAATACTCTAGATAGTACCAAAAGACAAAGCACTGACATTCCTCTTCACATGCTTCCCAAATCATGTATTAAAAATCTTAAGTTTTCCTTTATCTCATGAATTAGGGCTTCACAATAGTCAGTGTGACACAGGCAAAAAATGCGGATGGTATGAGACAAGGAATACTTCAGAGTATAGGATGTAGGCAGGTCTGTTTTAGAGATGACCCACCTATAGTAAAAGAACCTGACTTTTTTAACAAATTTATCTGTGCCAGGTCTTAGTTGTGGCCACAAGCTTAGCTGTGGCATGCAGGATCTAGTTCCCTGGATCAGGGATCGAACCCGGGGCCCCCTGCACTGGGAGTGCAGTCTTAGCCACTGAACCTCCAGAGAAGTTCCAGAACCTGACATTTTTGCATCCGAAGCTGTCCAACACCAAGGGCCCTACCACCAGTTTGTTCACTCAAATATTTGTAGGTCAAATAGTTCCCCAACCACCCCTCTGTAATAAGACATTTAGACACGGGGCTCAAGGAACATATTTAAAAAACAGATGAAACACTGCATTTGTTGAAGGAAGAAAAAGAATTGCCAGCTTTTAGGAGATTCATGAATAGAACAAAGACCTGAGACTCCCTAGAGCCTGCAATTACAAGAGCCATGTGCAGTATAGGACTGCTGCCCAATGTCCTCTCATAAATCAGGAAGCCAGCAACAGAATCCATGGACCTGGGTTTCTTAGGAGGGACACTGTCATCATGGAAATCTCAATCCTTTAAAATTTGGCTCTTATACATTACATTCATTACCATGTCAATTTTGCCAGCTGACTAAGACTAATTGTTTTGTAAAACCCTCCCACACTGACAGTATCCATCTCATAGTAAGTACCCTTCAACTCTGGACTTTATCCTGCTGAAACTTAACAGGCCTCTAGAGACTTTCTCAGATGTTCCCCAGTAAAAAGCTAAAAAATCGCTTCCTGAGAATTTGTTCCCAGTGTGACCTTAACTTGTTCTCATGGCTCGGTTCCCATCTACCCAAAGAACAAGGACCCATCTGGCTTCCCCACATGTTAAGAGAGGACACCAGCCTACTGAGCTGACACAAGCAACTTACGCTGGGTCTGTTTGGGCTGGTTGGTTCTGCCAGGGGGGCGTCCTCTCCGTTTCTTGGCAGGTGGTGGGGCTGGGGTCACTGGCTGGGGCTCTGGCTCGGGTTCAATCTCCACGGCAGGCTCCTCCTCATCCTCATTGTCATCCAAGTCTGGCTCAGCATTTTCTTCTCATGAAATCAGGAAGAAGAGGTGGTGGGGCAAGGAGACGAGTGGTGGAAGGAAAAGCAACACACAAACAATCACATACTCTGTGAAGTCTACTTAAATATTTATTTTCATCGTTAATAGCCCATTTAAAAATTCCATTTCACTGGAATTTTTGTTTTCAGCACTAAAGTAAACTGGTATTAATGCCAAATTAATAAGTAAATCAACTTAAATACCATTATTCATATTTTATGTGGACTGGATATTCTTTCAGCTTTAGATATCAGAATAATAAGTTTCAAATTCTTAAAGGCAACTCCAACTTACACCAGTTACATAAACACCCCCGCCAAGTGGTGTTTTAAGCTGAAAATGAAACAAATGTTCCCTCTACCTACTATACACAGATAAAACAGGACACTAAGCCTGAGATGGACCCCTGAAGAGTGGTGGAAGATGTGTGTGTGTTTGTGTGTATAAAGTTCTTGAAGCACCGTGAGATCCTATTTACTAGGAAAAGTGTTAAGGTCAAATTTTGGGATTTAATTCCCATCTGACCCAAACCCAGTGGGTCCTCCTAACTCCCTTACCTTCTCCCTAAAGCAATTACCATGTAGAAGGAGAGGGAACTATTGTAGAAAGAACACTGATGAAGAGCCTGATAATATAGTTCTCAGATCTCCTAAGTGTGTGACCTGGGATGATAACCACATGGAACCTCAGTTTCCTTGTGTAATCTTTAAAGAATTCTCAAAGATCACAAAGAGATAATGCCTGTAATTGTGCTCTGCAACTTACATTCTACCACATCATCACAGATGCTTTTTACACTACACATCAGAGTTTATAAAAATTCTCCATTATTCCATATAGGCTTCATTAAATAAGAGGTATTACCCTCATTTTACAGAAACAGAGAGAAACTAAAGTGATTTATAAGGCACAAATAACCACAGTTTGGGGGTGTTCTGCTGCCCACACCTGTAGGCAACTGAAGAGCTCTTGCTACCCCTCCCCCATTGCCATGGCACAAAAGATATCCTGACTGCCTTCCTCCAAGAAGCACAGGTTACAAGCACACTCTCTTTCGCTCACAACAAATGTTTAAATTTAGAAATCTGTGGGTAAATGCCTGATCATCAGGACAAAATGCCTTGTCAAGTGACTGAAATCCTAAGTGAAAATGTGGGGAACGTACTGGTACGTGGCAGCATGTCAAGAACGACATGCTTCCCTGCTGAACTTATTCAAGCCCCCTATTGCCTAAGTTGGCCCAACGCCTAGAAAGCTAAACAAATTCAGTCAGAACTGAGGCGGCGGGGGGACAGGGGGAGAAGCACACAAAGAAAGTTAAAAGGGTCAAAAGCTTATTGGATTGGAGAGATTTTGGTTAGAAGCCTTGAAAATAGCATTAGACTCTGGTGGTCAATTTCTGTCGATGACCAACAGGCAAAACTTCTGCGAGGTAACAAATATGATTCTGGCCTTCACCAGTCCAAACATTCTGGGATAAAGAGACAACAGGCCCCAAACAAAGCTCTGCAACTCCTCCTCCTGTCTTCTCCAGTGCAGAAGACAAAAGGAGGAACCATAGAAACCTATTAGGAACTTTCATTAAACTCTGCAGCTGAAAGATGTTGCTGGTAAAAGTACAATTAGAGAGTGGAGTTGGTCTTGTTGGGAGATGAACCACAGAAGTGAACCCAGCAGCACCATGAGAAAAAAGGTATGTCTGTGGCAGTAGAAGGCTCTGCAACCAAGAGCTACTACAGGTATCCTGAAGCTCAAGTTTATCTGGGCATCTCTGCTGGTTCTTGAGGCCCACTGACATTCCTTGGCACCTCCCAACAGTCCACTCAATTTCTTTGCCAAACAAACAGATTCCACAATGATTCTCGGTACAGTGTGATGTGCTTTTATAAAAATTAAACAAAGTGAAAAAAGAAAATTAAGGAAAGTGACATTTTAAAGGAGGCATTCACTTAAAACCCAGTGACTGAAGATAACACTTAAAATAGATTTTCCACTTAAGAAGGCAGCAAAAAATAAATTACTCTTATGCTTAGACGAATAGTCCCCCATAAAAAGTTATGAATAGAAAACTCAGGCCTTATTAAGATAAAAAACCAAAAGGGACTTTCTTATATATTTAAATATAAAAGACCTAGTACTTTCATGAACAAATTTTATAATAAAACCAATAAAGTGACAGATATATTCAGTTTTCAGAAATTTCATTTCCTTTCCCACTATTTCTGACAAGCAACGCAGAAGACAAAATGAGAACTTCTTAGAAATACATTAGGCATCATCTATAAGTACATTCCCCAAAACAAAACTCCTCTACATCCTTTTCCACAAGTCTTAAATATTGAAGCCACAGATGTGCCTTCTCAACTAGGTGCCACTAGCCCAAGTATCCACATTATAAAACCTAACACTTTGGAGTGAGTTTGTATCATCAAATGTGACTCCTGCATGACCAACACTCTTGTTTTCCACCCCCCCTTCATGAGTCTAGCACCTCAACACATATACCTTCTGCCTGGATTTCATGGCTAACACCCCAAAGAACATCAATGGTAGGAAAATAGGCAAAGTTTTTAAAATTATAAATGGGGAGATTAAGGTAGGAAGAGAAAGGCTGACCTTCATGGATTTGATCAACACATCTCAAGGCTAGGCTGACACAGGCAGTCAAACCAGAAGTTGGTCAGGATGCTTAAGCAACCTTCTTCATGTCCATTAGATTCACTGCTCAAATCTAGACCAGCTTCCTAAACGTAAAAGCTATGAACATAGAAAAGAAACTCTGCTGGCCTTAGAATATCACTAATCTGAGTAAAGTGAGTATAAAGATATTAATTTTGCTTCAGCTTTAACTGAACATAACATATCTTATCAAGCAATGGAACACCATAAGAAAAAAAAAAGAAAAATTTGCTCTGGGAATAAGCTAACTGCTGTTGTAAATATATACACACATCAGGAAGATTAGAGGTTTAAAGGAAACATGAGAGAATGGCCTGTCTCTGTATTCCAGCAAGTCCTTACGAAAATACACTGTAATCTCTGCACCAAAACCTGCCACATTTAACTAACTCAAGAAACAAAAGTCACTTACCACTGTCAGAGGAGTCTTCCTTTTTAGAACGCATCTTTCTCTTTCTTCCACGTTTACTCTTCTTCGTTTCTCCTCCATTTTCCCCTTCTACACCATCTGGACCAGCACAATTATCCGCATGTCTTGCCATAGTATTCTAACAAAAGGAACAAAATCCTCGTTCACATTACTAAAAAAGGTTATATTAAAATTGAAGTTCTCTTTTAGTTTAATAAAAAAACAACAACTGGGGGGTGGTTATCCATATTAAGTCTCAATGTTCTAGTATCTGCTAAGTGTGTCCTGAACATACGCTTCCCATTCAGGGAAAATGGTCTCCATCTGGAGTGGGTAGAGAGAGAGAAAAGGGTGGGTGGGACAGGAGAGCTGTTCAGAAGATGGGGTTAGGTCCTCTGAGTAGGGGAGAATCAGACCAAGCTCCCTGTCCTGTGCAGACCTGACTAACATGACCCTAAGTGAAGACAGACCTGTTAAAAAATACTGAGTTCCCCATCAGTGGAAGAGTTCACACATGGACAGGTGTGATGTGGTGGGGTGGGGATAACTGACCCTTTCCAAATGATAGTTTACCTCTATAATCTCAGTGGAGAAAACCGCCCTGCTTTGCAACAGAAGATCAAGAACATGGATGGTATCAAGAACTGTAACGGAGGAAGTCAAGTTCTGACTCTTACCCGGCGTGTAAATGTTTTCCCACACTTAGAACAGACAAAGGCCGCAGGGACAAAGTTCGGGTCATGATAGCGTTTGAAGTGCATGTCGAGGAGCTGTTTCTGGCGGAAGGTCTTGTCGCAGTGGCTGCAGGCATAAGGCTTCTCCCCAGTGTGGGTGCGCTTGTGCATGATCATGTGCCTCTCCTGAAAGAGAACGGGGTGAAAGAAGGTCTCAGAGCCTGTTGCAGGGCTGCTATCCCCCACCACCTGCATGCGTAGCTCTAAAAACCTTCCTCTTCCAAGGGTCCAGGCCCAGAACTGCTTACTGAGAGGATGATGTAAACCTTACTGGGGTACAAAACTGCTTCCCCAAATCCTACCAGATACACTCACTTCTGCTGGGCTGCTTCGGTAGAACACTCCCAGGCATCAGGCCCCAGTACCAAATTCATCCCTTCTCTCAAGTCCTGGACTTACTTTCATATAGTGAAAGTGAAGTCGCTCAGTCGTGTCCAACTGTTTGCGACCCCATGGACTGTAGCCTACCAGGCTCCTCTGTCCATGGGATTCTCCAGGCAAGAATACTGGAGTGGGTTGCCATTTCCTTTTCCGGGGGATCTTCCCAACCCAGGGATCGAACCCAGATCTCCCACACTGCAGGCAGACGCTTTACCCTCTGAGCCACCAGGTAAAAACCCTCTGATAAAACCCAACACTGATGAGACATCAACCGTTTTCTAACTATAAAGGTTCCTACTTGTCTACAAGCGTAATCACACTGATCACACTTAAAGCGCTTCTCGTTCTTGTGTGACTTCTGGTGCTGGATGAGGGCATAGCGCTCATGAAACACAGCATCGCAGTATCGGCATTTCTTGCCCTGCTCAATGTAGGAATGCTGCTTTCGCAAGTGGACACCTGAAAGCAAAACACAAAGCCAAGTCCAATTTGTGAAAACACAAACATCTCAAAGAGTTAAGAACACATTTCTTTCTGCTTCTGAATATAATTACTCTGGCTGCTATACAGAAAATGGGAAAAAAAAGGAGTAAAAACAGACATGGAGAGACTAGGTGAGATGTTAAAACTGGACAGGTGAGGGAAGGTGGTGGTTTGGAGATGGCAGTGGGTATGGAGGGAAGGGGACCTGACAAGAGACCCAAGAAGCTGAATCAACAGGACTCAGACACTGACCAGAGTGAGGAAGAGAAAGGTGGGTATCAGGAATGACCTTCAGGTTTCTGGCTTGGAAAACTGAGCAGATGGTGGAACCACTTACTGAGACAAGGAGTAAGTGGAACAGGGCTGAAGCCTGAGCTGTGTGTCTGTCTTTGGGACAAGGGGACAAAGGGGATTTAGACCCCAGTTTTGGATATGTTGAATTTGAAATGCCAGATGGGAAGGAAGCTGAGGGAGAGAGGACTGTGAGCGATATAACTCTTCATGAGGACTGGTTGAGAAGGAAATAAAGAGCTAAAACCTAGAAACAGAAGACAAAAAAAAAAAAAAAAAAAAAAAAGGAGAGAAATAAGGACATTTAGAGTTGAGGGGAAAGATTAAGGAGTGAGAACATGAAAGTGAAGGTAAAGAAGCAATACTTGACCATGTAAAGGTTGCTAGGAACACAGGAGAATGGGATCAGGGCAAAGGGACAGGCCATAGACATGAAGAGTGACAGTCTCTAGAAGCTGATGGGGCAAGAGGATGAATGCAGGTAAGTTACGCATGTGGAAAGAGGAAATTTGAAGTTTCAACCTGCTGCATTTCCTGTGTGTGTAAAGTAAGAAAAGAGATTATATACTGAGACCAAGGAGGCAAAGAGAAAAAGGAAGGAAGATTAGAGGTTTAAACAAAGGTAATGATTTACCCTACTGTCATAGTACTTCCCACATAGCAGGTGCTCAAACATCTGTGGAATGAATTAACGGGACACACTCACTGAGGAGAATGGGAACACACTGATGAGGACAAACAGCTGGAATACTGAGGAGCCCAGCTGCGTTTAGGATCAAGAATTTATGGTGCTAACCATCTGCTCAATCAAGGTGCTATCACTTCCAACTTTTGTTTTTTAGTTGCTAAATAGTATGTGACTTTTTTGCGACCCCATGGACTACAGCCACCAGGCACTTTTGTCCGTGGGATTTCCCAGGCAAGAAAACTGGAGTGGGTTGCCATTTCCTCCTCCAGGCATTGGCAGGTGGATTCTTTACCACTGAGCCACCAGGGAAGCCTCACATCAAACTTAAAGAGGGCTAATTCTGGGGAGTGGAAACAAGGTAAGAGAAAGGGATGGCTCACTTTTTTACTCTCTACACATGTTCACTATATGAAGACTTTTTATACATACATATATCATTTCAAATAATTCTTAGACTCAACTTCTGCTCCTCAGATAGAGACCTAACAGTTAATGTGAAAGACTTTCATATGTTTTTATTAAATATTTACAATAATAATTCTGTAAGGTTGGAATTATTCCTACGTATCAGTTAAAAAAGAAAACTTATTAGAACAGTAAGTATTTGACTCTGGTAGGTCTGCCTCCAAAGCCCATGCTTTCCTGTGTCCCAAGGTGATGAATCTTAATTATTGCATATTAATGTGAAACCAGACCTGCTTTAAAGAGGGAACATAAACTTGTTTGGGAATGGTTTGGGGAGATAACTATTATTTGACAGCTCCTTAACTACCTCATAAACAGCTCATTATGTAGGGTCTAAGAGGTTATCATGCAAGTATAAAACACTCAAGGTTTTCATTTGCATCAGGATAGTGAATAACTTAAAAAAAAAATCGAATAATCCAAACAGTGGCCTAACAGTTTACACAGTGCTATGAGATATTACTGGTTTAGGTTTTAGTTTCTATACGTTAAGAACAGTAAAACTCCTTCATTTATCTGAGGACAGTACTTCTTAAATTTTTCTAAAATCCTTTCCATACTAGAGTAGAATGAACACATGACCCACTGGATCTTACGTGGAATCCTACATGTCCTCTACTTCAAGCTCACAGTTTCATCTTAAAAATGTTTTATGTCAGTCTCCAGTTTGTTCAATATAGTCATATTATTGGAAAAATGTTTAGTTCAATTGTATAACTTTACTCAAAACTTTTTGAGTAAAACCAATGCTGCAGAAAGACAGGCCAGGTTTATGATATGGTTTGGTATGCTCCTGATATGACCTGGGTACTTATACACGCCCCAGTGTGAGAAACAGCTCGAGAGGGTTCCAGAAGACTCAAGTCCAGCTTTGCCACTCATAAGCTGTATTGTATCACTTTGGTCAAAACACCTGGTTATCACCTACAAAGCTCGAATAAATACGCCTTGATGACTTCATATGATTGCTGTGAAGATCAAATAAGTAAAAAAGTAAAATCAAAGTATAAAGACAACCTGCAAGGTACAATTTATCTAAATACATTATTATTTTGCAGGGAGCGATGCATTTTGAACAGAGAACAGACTGGGGCACTATTTTTAACTATTTTAAATAAGAAACACAAAGGGATAAATTCAGGTGACCTTATCTTTAAAGATATGAGTTATACAAAATATAAAATTTCTACCACTAAACTCTGCCTTTACATTAACTCTAGCTTAATTATGTACAGAATTATAGCTATCACCAAATCAATACAACGGTCTGATTACCTAAAGAAAGTACAAATATTCTGGAAAAAAACAACAAAAAACTGAAATGGACTGACCTTAGTTCGAACCATACTATGTTACTTCCATATTTGGGGACTTTTAACATTACCAATGAAGGATACTGATTAAAAATACACTTTTCTCTCATTATAGCTGCCATTTATTTATAGATAAGCTATTGTCAGGAAAAAATTTTGTTGTGTAGCTTCAGTAAGAGAAAGAAGAGACAGAAGAAAATAGCATAAGCAATGACTTTTATTAAATAGCAGGCCATTCACAACAAACAAAACATATGAAGTCAGAAAAGGAAGTAACCTGTGATCATTATCTTCATAGATTTGTCAAAATTTATTTTTCATTTGCCACTAGTTAACTGACTTACCCAGATCACTTTTTCGGGCTATGACAGTGTCACAGTGGGGACAGTGAAATTTGGCCACATTTTCTGTGTGCTTCTGTAAAATGTGCATCTTCATGGTACCACTTTGGGTAAACCGTGCATGACAAATATAACATTCATAAGGTTTTTCCCCTTCAAAGAAAAAACACAGAATGAATAAATTAGATGAAATGACTAAGTAACTACCATTTAATTGGAGGGTTACCAGGTGGCAGATATGCCAAGCCACAGAGGATCTACAGTTCTTAACTCAGGAAGGATGAGGCTCAGGCCTATCTTCAGAGATGAATAAGTCCCAAACTGTGGCCACCACCTCTGCTCTGCCCAGTCCTGCCACAGAGTCCTTCATGTTAATAAGAGTTAGTTTCTACTGCTATAGACAGGATGATGGCAGGAGGACCTGCAAGTTTTTCTTTTTAGAAAAAGACTGTACTTTAGAAAACTGACAAGTTGGGTTAGGTAATCTACCCAGGCTTCACACAGTAAAAAATTTCCATTCTCCAGTGTATATTCAGAGCAATGAACTCTGAAGGTATGCCAGAGAACATCTGTCATTTATATACTATTATCATGCCCATTTCCATTTGGGTAACTAATAGGAGTATGTGGTGGTTCACAGGGTGCCATGGGATCCACCAGAAAGTGGTTCATTAATACAAGGAACAGAGAAGTCCTACCTGAATGGGTTCGCATGTGCCTTTTCAGCTTGTATGTGTCCCTGCTGGCATAACTGCACAAGCTGCACTGGAAAGGACGCTCCCCAGTGTGAGAGCGAATGTGACGCTTTAGTTTGCTGACCTGAAATACAAAAGCAACAAAACCTCTTAAACATGTATTAACATAGGTTGTGACATGAACACCATGGGTCAAGCACAAAAGCTTTGGTTTTGGAAACTGAAGTTCGTAACAGAAAAAGTCTAAAGGACAGTATTTCCTCCTCTCTAACTGTTGCCTCTAAAATCCCTATCATAATCTAAGGGAAGAGGGTAAAACGGATAGGGCATGAGTCAAGATGAGTTACTATTAACTGTTTAGGCCAGGTGATATAGGTCCATGGGGGTGTAATTTACTATTCTATCTACTTCTTTATGTCTGAAGTTCTCCAGAATAGTTTTTAAATAATTCAAGCTTATTTATGGATCAAGTTTTTAACAAACTTGAATCCAAATTTATAAATGCATTTTAATTCCCCTCAGTCTCTCTTTCAACAGCACTTCCCAGACAGGCCAGGCACTTACGGCCTCTCACCTTCTTCCCTTTGGACTTATGCTTTTCGTCTTCAATTGGTACCTTTTCAACAAAAGAGTGACTCTAAGGAGGGTTTCAAATACTCACTAACATGTGACTTGAAAATTCTAAATAGTGTTCCAGTTTTACACTAAAATCCCCCTGCACTTCTACACAGTAAAAATTTCACACACTGTAAGGCTAAAGAATGATTCCAACAGTAATACTGAATAGTTCTCTTTCTAGGACTTTTCACATATTAAATTCTTGTATACTGCAGGATCTATTCTTTTTCAGCCAACTCTTTTTTCTTGCTCCAATATCACACTGTCTTCATTCATCATATAGTTTTACCATAGCCAATAGCAAAAGCCCTTCATTCCTTTTTCAGAAATTTTTTAGTCATTCATATATACACTTCCAGTTGAAATTCAGAACCAACTTGAAATGTGTATTTATTGAATTTATTAATGTCTTTTATAAAATTCTGAGACATTTTCTTCTTACAGGTATTAGGTGCTTTTTTGGTGTTCAGCTTACTCCCAGGCCATTTTAATTGCTGTTAGAATTTGAACCTGTTTTCTAGTATTGGTATTGTATAAAATAAGTCACTGATTCCTGTGTATTTATACCTTGGATTTGACCACGCGACTGAACTCAAATGTTCCAGGTTTTTCAGCCAATACTCTTGGATTTTCTATGTAAGAAAATATGTCTGTAGAAATGACAGTTTTGTCTTTCCATTTATAATTCATTACTTACTTTATGCTATTATCTAGGATTTCCAATACAATGTTGAAATTCTAACTGTGAGAATGGGTATCTTGTTCCAAAGTTACTTAGGCTGGGTTTACTATAGGCTTCCAGTAGATACTCCTCATAATAAAGACATTTTCTTCTACACTTGACTTGCTAGAACTTTAAATAGTATCAAGTATCAAATTTTATAGTTTTTCAATTACAGAAATGATTATGTGGTTTTTCTTTAATCTCTCAATGTAGTACACACCAATAATTTCCTAATGTTGAATTACTCTTGCATTTTAGATACATTCTATTTAATAATCACATTTTAGTAATAATCTATTACTACATCTGGTCTGTTAATTTATTTAAAATTTTGGCTTTTCTGTGAGAAAAAGATACAGTTTTCTTTTTACAAGTATCCTAATCCAGTTTGGGTAACAAGGTAACCTCAAATAATTATGGTGATAAAATCTTCCATTTTTAAAACACTCTTGGTATAGTGACTTATTTCTTTGAAGTCTGGTAGAATTTGCCTGTAACATTAATAACACATGGATTAGTACTCTTTTTTTAATGGGTAAACCTTTCACACTCATTACAGAAATTTTTTTCTAGTGGTGGGGAGGAGAAGTGGTAGTAATCTAGTAAGACATTCTATCTTGTATTATGAGGATACAAACTATCCTCACACAGGAAACATTGTCTTCTTAAGACAAGGAACCAACAAGGAGCTGATCTTCTACAGTGAACTTACTTCTACACTGGCATAATCGCACATGGAACACTTAAATGGCTTCTCATGGGTGTGTTTGTAACGACGATGCCGCACCAATTCTCCACTAGTCACAAAGGCCATATCACAGTCTGGGCACTTGTGAGGACGAGTACCTAGAGAGAGGAGGACATAAGAGAAAGTCAAGGACATGGTTAATTACAGAGTTCAATGTGTGACACAACTGCAGCATGAGGCTGGACCCTGGTTATCTCACCAACCGTGCCTGAGAGTAGCTCCAAAAGCTACGGGTGAGAGCCCAACTGACTTTACAACACCAATCTCAAAATATTAAAAACACACGCCAAACGTTTAGTTTCTCTTAATTACCATTTTGAGTCTGCTGTCTTTGAATACAACATCTTTTTTATCCCTATTTTGTGAATAGTCTGATCACTATGGACTAAAGGTTAATAGAAGTATCTGTTTCAACCCATCTAAAAAAATACAGAACACATCTTTTATTTTTTTGTTTGTTTGTTATGTTTTATCCATCAGAATGAAAGCTCCTTGAAGGCAGGGACTTTTGTCTGTATTCCCTGCCACCTAAAATTGTGCCGGTACACAGCAGGCGTTCAATAAAGATTTTTGCTGGAGACTGGATGGCATGAATTAATCAGATTTCTGGGGGCTTCTGCAGAGTCTGGGACAGGAAAGGGGGAGATAGAGAGACACTACCCCCCCCCCAAATGCCTCTCCCACCCCATCTTAACCTTAAGTGTTGCAAAGTGTGGTCGAGTTAGATTTAGTCTGCTGGGTGACAGGGTCAGTGGGCTGCAGACAGATCCAAAACAGCCTTTGGAAAGGTTCAGGGGGGAGCTGGATTCCTGACTTCTGGTCTCCTGGCCTGGGTTGGACCCAAGACCCTGAGACAGAGCCCACACATTCTGGGGAGTCACCCTCCAGTCTTCAGCTCCCTGAGGAAGCAGAAATTACTCTTCTCAGTTTGAAGGCACTTGGAGAGAAGAGGGCAGTGGTCGGGAGTAGGGGGGAGGAGAGGGCTGACCCTTTTCGGTCTTCCAGTCTCTGTTCCAAGATGGAAGTTCCAGGCTCCGTCTGCTCCACAGAGACCTGCCCGATGGCCCTCGAAGGCTCAGAGCCCCAGCTCGGGTGGAGCCCGTTTGGGAGCCACAGAGCCGGAGTGCCGGATCAGTGGAGGCGGGTGGCCAGTGGCCCAGGGGCTGCCGTGTGTGACACGGCGGTTCGCCACCGAAGGCCTCGGCCGTCCTGAGCTCAGACTTTGGTGGCCGGCCGCTGTGGCTGCTGCTTCTGCAGCTGGGCCAGTGTGTCCCGCTTCTCGATGGATCGCAGCTGCTGCTTCTTCGCCCGCTTGAGCTTGGCGGGGTTTCGGATCACTTGGACAATTTCCGCCTTCCGCTCATTCTCCAGGCGGCGTCTCAGGTTCTCCGCACGGCGTTCCTTCTTCTCCTGCCGCCGCCGCTCCCTCTCCTCCTCCAGGTGCCGGGCGAAGTCCTTAGCCAGCTTCCTCTCCTGCCGGTCCTTCATCTTCCGCTGCTGCCAGGATGTGCGCAGGGGCTTGTCCTGAACCATCTGGGAGAACCTCTTCTTTGAGCGGTCCTTCCACACCCGCCCAGACTTGGGCTTCCCTTTCGGGATTACAGGAACCTCCTCCTTTGGCTTCTTGGACATTGGGGCCTGGGCCGAAGAACCTTCTCGCTTCTTTGGCGCGGGGCCTTCTCTAGCCGGCTCCCCAGCTGCAGGTGACTTGCTCGGCTCATGCTGATCCCGTGGGGAGCCGGGCGACCGCGGTGTCAGCTCCTGCAGTGGCTTTGAGGGCTCAGGACCCGGTGCTTTCTGACTGGGGAAAGGCTCTAATGATCCTGAGTCCTGCTGCAACTGACGTCGAGGGGACCCCGGGGTCGGCTCTTCCTTACTCTTGGGCAACTCCGAGTCCGCTTCTCCTTGGTCTTGGGAGAACTTTGGTGATTCCTCACCTGGCTTTGGCTGAAGTAGGTGGGCTTCAGGACTCGATTCCGGCTGACTTTGGGGAAAATTCAGGCCTGGATCTCGCTGACCCTGGGGGGACCCTGAGTCCAGCTCTGGATGCTTTCGAGGGGACCCTAAGGCTGGCCCCTTCCACAGACTGGATGATCCTGGGCTTGTCTCCGGCTGACTACTGGGAGATCCCAGGCACGGTGGAGACCTAGGCTCCCTCATTTCTTCTGGGTTCGACTCGAACTCCACAAGGGCCCGTCTCACCCGCAAAATTGAGGTGGGGTTGTCCGGAGATTCAGGCTTTAGTCCTTCCAGCCAGCGGCTGCGTCTCAGCGGCGTATCCATGGTTCTGGGACCAACTCCGAGCCCAGAACACATCTTTTAAACCTCAATGTCTATCAAGTAGAGGTCACAGAATTAACAGTTATTTTGATTCAAGATCCTTGTACACATCAAAATTACTGTATTGAAATTATATATACAGAACCAGTGGGCTGTCCATATTGACCAACTTTAAAAAAAAAAAATAGAAATATAGTAACATGTTTTCTATTTTAATTTGGTTTCATAAGGTACTCTAGAGATTTACCAAAGGCTTTAAAAGTAGTATTGCCTTTTATGTTATGTGATTTAAAGACTGTTTTCATATATCCAAATCTAATATTCTGTGATCTGAATGTTAAATCATGGAATATTTAAATATTTTTTGAACTAATACTATATCTTCTATATTTCTTGTTTTTTTCCTTGTTTTATTTTTCCTTTCACTGAGATAACCTTATTGTTTTTAATATGTCTTCCCATAGTAGCCCCATAATGTACCATTACTTTAGTAGATCTTCTCTAGGCACTTTATATTCTGAACACTGCACTGGAAATATTATGACCAAGTAATATTCACAATAAAGAGATAAAGCCGACAGCAGAATACAGTACTGTTTTCATAGGTTGTTATTATTACCATCTGTAATTGTGAGTAAGAAGTGAACAGCAAGTTAATCTCAAACACCAAAATCAAAAGCAGGCTACCTTTGAGAAGGGAATTAGGAAGACTCACGATGTTATGAATAGGACCAGCCATTTGCAGAAATGATTTTCCCAGAGATTGAGAATACTGGAGAGGGCAATGTGTTTGGATATGATAGTAATTACTAGAAAATTCCAAAGAATGTTCATTTATTCAGTTTGCTTCTTTAGTACCACTAAAGATTAAGAGTGAAGGATAGAGTTCTTATGAATGAAAAATGTACACTCTGGTGGTACAGATAGGTAAGTAAAACAACAACTAACAAGAGAAGGAAAGTAACATCAATTCCTATTAGGACACGGTAAGCTGAAAACAAAGAATTTCCAATGTTTACCTAGCATTACCAAAGGGGGAAAAAGAGGCCTGCTTCCGATAGACCTAAGCATGGCAATTAGGAAACAAGTGGACACCACCGTGGGACATGAATTTTCATCAGGTTGTACCACATGACCGACTATGTCCCTCTGCTCAAGGTCCATGCTCACCAGGCCACCCTTCAATTGCTACAGCAGCTGGACACAGGTCCCCCTAGGATGCAATACTATTGTATCTACAAAATTAAAAGGTGCACTTTTCACCATAAACTGATGTTCTGTTATGCTCCTGACTCTTGAGGGTTTGGTTAGTATGAATTAGTCCTGCCAAATCACTCTTAAATAGCCAAATTTCTTATTTTCAAAGCTGAGGACTTGACCATGACACACAGTGCCCACATCAAGGTACTCCCATTTTGGCAGTCCCATAATGCGTTCAGCTGCTTTTATGCAGTCTTCTGCCTTTTCCCTAGGATTTTCAAACTACCAAATAAAACATATCATCGTCAAGTCTGGGTAGAATCCAGGGAGTTGGTGAGAAGTGACTAAGTCATATTAACAAATACACTACGGCACAGCATACTGCTTATAAGCCAACCCCTACTTGATCATGTTCATCAGACAACCAACACATCAAAGAGAAAACAAGAGTCATCATATAAAATGAGGCAGAGAATCTGGATAGAAGAAAGCTATTCTGCATGAAGAATCAGGTGAGAAAAGTTTCTATTAGCACCTGGAGCCAAATATCAATACCATAAGTGTATAAGAGCCCAGAAGAGAGTCTCAGGAGAGCTTCAGCCCAGTCTCTCCACTTCAGTGACCCCAGAACCTGGCCACAGTCTACATGAAGCTAATATTAGATTATTAAGTATGTGTGGACCATGAATGAAATGTTTGAAATGCTGGAACGGCGTCTTAAATTTTTCATTCTGGGTTTATGAACTGTAGCTTATTCTTTGATGTAAAACAACCAGAAACTATGGTTTTTACAGAGGAGGACCACATTTCTATTTTTAATGTTCTTCCTCATAGTGCCTGGCAATTGTTGCCTGGGATTTTGGGGGGTTAGTTTTTGTCATTGTTGTTAAAACTTTAGCAACACAATGGTGGTGTCCTCAGGAAATATTATAGGTTGGTTAACTACCACAGAAAATCTTTATCTGAATCACCATCCTTATATAATTTGGATTATTTCCCATAAATTCTTTATATTTGCCCATAAGTCCACTTGCTTACAATAAATCAAGATTACAAAAAGGGTAACATAAGAAAGAACAAAGAAGTCTTACCACTTTTACTCCCACTGGAATCAGCTTAGAAGATATTTAAAACTCAAGTTTAAGCCTTTGCTAAGCTGTAGTCCCCAACATGTTTATCCAGTACCCACCTGTGTGTGTGTTAAGGTGATTCCTCAGAAGGGTAACTGTTCTGAATGCCCTGCCACAGAGATGGCACTTATGTGGTCTCTCATCAGTGTGACTTTTCATATGCCGATCCAAATTTGAACGCCGTGGACATGTGTAACTGCAAAGCTCACACTGGAATGTCTTCTTTACACCTATATGCAAAATAAAACACTTACTTGTTGCAGGGTTTCAAAATTTTTAAGATTAATCCTAAGCTTAAACTGCTACAGATGTATTTTGTTAGCTTTTTATAACTAAACCAAATTAAGTCATACTTAGTCATAATTATCTTATGCTACCAATAGATTTCTTACTTTCTTTTCAGGACTTAAAAAAGTACTCAATCTGAAAAAACTTCTTTTAGACTGGCTAAAAAAATTGGTACCCACATCACAATCTTTAAAAAATAAATCCATTTAATATAATCTGCATATGTACTGTTATGTGCTTTATCCCAAAATGGTTTTGAGAATATAATGGATAAACTTATTTTACCTTTCTTTTTAATTTTTGTTGGCTTTGGAGGCTTCATGTTACCAACCACTTTCTCTGCATTAACCTCTGACAGCAGACCCTCCTGCTGCTCTTCCTCAAAATCATACACAGACACATCCACATCTTTGCCCTCCTCTGTGTAACGCAGTTTGCTCTTTTTGGTTTTCTTTGTTTTTTTGGCTGGTGGCTGATAGTCTGGGTCTTTTTGCCAACTAGGATCTTCCTGAGGCGGAAGTTCCCCTTGCTCTAGGGTCTCCACCTCTCCATTGGCCCCCACTTTTACCACTTGAAACCCTTCAGGCAAAGGTAAGGTGTGACATATCACGGGTTCACTTTCTGCAAGGCCCTCTTTAGACACTTCATTCTCATAAGCCCCCTGAAGTTCTTCTACTGAAGTGGTAGCAACAGGTACAGTCACAGGAACGGGTACTTGCACAAGCTGAAGCTCTCCTATGTTTATAGGCTGTTCCTCCATATTTACAACCTGCAAGGTTATAATTTGGGTATCGTCCACGGCAGCCTCTGCTTCTGGAGCGACTGCACCCTCCATGACTTCAGTCTTCATCTGAAGAAGGGTAGGATCCAGCTGTTCCATCATCACCATCTGTACACTGCTATTGACATCCTGGACCACCTCACCACCATCAGTCTGGTTCTGGGGAAGGTGGCAAGAGTCCTCTTCCTGGCCCCCTTCCCGGCGTCTCTGGTAGGTCTTTCTCTCCTTTCCTTTAATGAAAGTTTCAGACTCTTCCACAATGGCTTCAACCGCCTCACCTTCCATTTCCCCTTCCTTTATTAAGGGAGAACACAGATTGTTATTTAAAATAAAATTTATCTAAATGAAATTTATCTAAATGAAAATACATACACTTTAAAACAAAAAAGACCACCAATGTTTGTTAATATTACAAAAAAAACCCAACAGATATTATGCACCTCCTTGTGGAAGAAGGGAATACCATCTATGAAGTAGTCTTTTAAGACAAAAACATCCTAAACAAATCAAGCCTCTAGATCCAACTACCAATTAATAGGAAACTGGTTGACAGAGGATATTAATTTACACTACAGGGATGAAATTCATGAAACCCAGACTGAAGGAAACTGCAGGAATAACTACTTATTGTTTTCTGTAAAGAAATCACCAGCAAGTAAAAAAACCTACAGATCAGTGATTTTTATGCCAGGAGACATTTGGCAAGGTCTGGACATGTTTCTGACTATGTGGATCACAGCAAACTGTGGAAAATTCTTAAAGAGATGGGAGACCAAACCACCTGACCTGCCTCCTGAGAAATCTGTATGCAGGTCAAGAAGCAACAGTTACAGCTGGACAGGGAACAAAGGACTGGTTCCAAATTGGGAAAGGAGTACGTCAAGGCTGTATCCTGAAGAGCCTCTTGATGAAAGTCAAAGAGGAGAGTGAAAAGGGTGGCTTAAAACTCAACATTCAATAAACAAAGATCATGGCATCTGGTCCCATCACTTCATGGCAAATAGATGGGGAAACAGTGACAGATTTTCTTTTCTTAGGCTCCAAAATTACTGCAGATGTTGACTGCAGATATGAAATTAAAAGACACTTGCTCCTTGGAAGGAAAGTTAGGACCAACCTAGACAGCATATTAAAAAGCAGAGACATCACTCTGCCAACAAAGGTCCATCTAGTCAAGGCTATGGTTTTTCCAGTAGTCATGTATGGATGCGAGAGTTGGACTATAAAGAAAGCTGAGTGCTGAAGAATTGATGCTTTTGAACTGCGGTGTTGGAGAAGACTCTTGAGAGTCCCTTGGACTGCAAGGAGAATCAACCAGTCCATCCTAAAGGAAACCAGTCCTGAATATTCACTGGAAGGACTGATGTTGAAGCTCCAATACTTTGGCCACCTGATGTGAAAAACTGGCTCATTAGAAAAGACCTTGATGCTGGGCAAGATTGAAGGCAAGAGGAGAAGGGGACGACAGAGGATGATGGTTGGATAGCATCACCAACTCGATGGTCGATGGACTTGAGTTTGAGCAAGCTCCGGGAACTGGTGATGGTCAGGGAAGCCTGGCATCCTGCAGTCCATGGGTTTGCAAAGAGTCAGACATGACTGAGCAACCCAACTTGACTTGGACATGTTTCTGGTTGTCACTACCTGTGCAGGTAAGCTACCAGTATCTAGTGCTATCTAGTGGGTAGAGGCCAGAGACATTACTAAGCATCCTGCTCTGCACAGGTGAGTCTTTCACAACAAAGAATTATTGGTCCCCAAATGTCAGTAAGTGCAGAGGTTGAGAAACCCTGATATAGACAAAAGAAGCTTAAGAGATACATCAAACACAATCTATGGATCTTGTTTGTATTGAGTCAAACCAACAAATGTTTTTTAAAAATGCCATGAGACAATGAGATTCAACTCTGACTGGATATTTGATATTAAAGTTATTAACAAAACTGGTTTAAATCTTACACATTTTTTACATCTGGCAAGGGACCTGTTTTTAGCTAAATTCTCCCTTAGAAAACAAGTCATCAGAATGCCTTTTCACCATGCTTTTCTTTGAGCCAGAATCAGAACTTGAATCCAGAGTCCAATGGCCCTGCTTGTAGCTACCACACACCTCCACCTACTGTCTCATACCATCATCTCATACCTGGAATATATTCACCTATTTCTCTTCTCTATAAGACCATAAGTTTGTTGAGGACAGAAACCATTTATATAACAAGTAGTTTTTACCCTTTAGCACTGTGCCCAGGTTAGTAAGAACACAATAAATACTAGCTGAATACATAAAAGAAAATAGAAAAATCAGCTTCTTTTGGATTTATAGCTTCTGGCTCTTACATCTTGTGAGTGCTGAGAATACCCAGGTATCTAAGAGTAAAATGAGTCTGAGCAATGTCCAATTCCTATCAATAAACTGACTTAACAAAACTGACAAGTATATATAAGGTTAACTCAAAATTAAAATTTAAAGTGTTTTGTATTCTTGCTCTCATCTCAAACAAAGGTTCTGCCACATCTATCAGAGACCAGTTTCTTCAATTCAGGTACCTTAACACTATCCGTAATAGCAGTCAGAGAAGGCTCCTTAAGTCAGGATCACCTGCAAGGTAGTACAAAGACTAAGATTATGCAAACCTGATCCTGCATTTTAAGAGTTATTGTCTAACAAAAGACAGAATAGGTACAATGGCTCAAGGTAAAAGAAACTAGGTTTGGCCAGGTGTGAGATCAATATGGGCAGGACTTTTAAAGGCAACACGGTGCGTGCGTGCATGTCTGCATGCACATGCTTAAAAAGCATCAAATAGAGGAAAGAATAGAAACAGACAGGATAAAGATGTGTTGGTTGTGGCCATAGAATGTGGTCTTGAATGACAAAATATTAAAACTATACTCATTTGGTTGTCAATGGAAATCGCGTATGCTTTCTAAGCACTGAAAATTGAGACTTACTTGATTCATAAAGAACAGTGCTTGATTTCTTCAACAAAGTGTATCTGTATATTTGCAAAGAGGAGAGATGTACTCACCCCAGATAATCTATTCAGATTCATGACTGGTTGGTCTTTAAGCCATTATTCTTCCTTGAATGTATTTGCTGATAAAACAACCACACTATTATGCACTTAAATTTTTCTCAAAATAATCTGTTTCCCCAGTGGGCTTGTTAAAACTCTTTGAGGGAAAAAGCCAGGGTTGAAACAACCCTACATATTTGGACTGATTCAACAAACCTCACTATCTGCATAGAACAAAACCAAGCCTAATGGAAAACCTTGTGGGTTGCTGGGTTTCCCTGATTTGTTCTACCATCACCTACTTTCCTTAATCCCTTGTACTCAACAACCAAGAGTATACTACAATGCTCGATGCAAAGACCTCTTACTATCTGTTCCATTAACAGGACAAACATAACAAAATGCTACCAAAGAACATGACGGTCAAGGGACACTTGTGAAGTGCTTTATAATCTGCCTACAAATGAAAAATGTCTGAGCATCAATGTGCTAATGTTTTTATATGTCTGAGCATCAATGTGCTAATGTTTTTATAAGATCGTATTTATATTTCTGATGGTGAAAGACTACTTTAGGCATGATCCTAGCTATAATTTCTTTTATATAACCACTACTGTTCAGACATATCATTCTTGGGATAAGAATATTCTATGCTAGAGTCATCCAATAGAAATGTGAGCTACATACATATAATTCAAATTTTTCCAGTAGCCATATTTAAAAGTAAAAAGAAACAAAGTCAATTTTAGTAATCTAACCCCATATATCCAAAATAGTATCATTTCAAGATGAAATCAATAAAAAAAGTTGAGATACTGTACCTTCTTTTTTTATAATAAGCCTTTGAAATCTGGTATAAATTTTATAGTACATCTCAATTTGAACCAGTCACATGGTAAATTCTCAACAGCCACATGTGGGTAGGTGCTCCTGAGGACCAGGAACACTGGTTTAACCTCGGAACTTCTAAAAACAGAATTTCAGGCTCTACCCTTGACCCACAGAATTACAACTTGCAATTTAACAGATCCCCAAATGGTGTCATATATTAGTTTTAGATGCACTACTTTATACTATTACTTGCTTCATTTAAAAAAAAAAAAAAAAAAACCCCAAAACTTCCCAGGCCATGAGGTCTGAAATCAATACCCCAACAGATGATGATAACTTCAATGCTGGAGTTAGGAACAGAGAAAAGAAAGCCACACCCAAGATGGAAACATTCTTGGAAAAGTATTAAAAAAACAAAAATTTTACATGCTGTAAATGCTACGGCCACAGATTCACTACGTAACCCCAGGTTATTCAGATATCCTCAGTAATAAAACTGGTGGAAGAAAAATATTTAATCTCTGAGCTCGGTGAGATTTTGTAGCACACAACAATCTGAATAACACTGAAAAATCCACCTTGTCTCCGCCATGAATTTGAGAACTTAAAATACTAGAAATCTCTTGTAAATAACCAAATCCAACCCAAAAGAGGCTGTGGAATTATAAACCAGGCAGAAAAAGAATTGCTGGAAAGGAATCAAACTGAAACCAATTATGGCTGCCTGGGATTGACCTGACAAGTGTATCCTCTCACCATGAAAAAACACATGGCATAAGGTCCATGAACATCACCATCTATTCAGGGTCTTATAGCAGTAGGTTCTATTTTTACAGAGAAAAATCAGACACAAAGTAGCAAGCCACCAGCCTCTCCCATTCAGGCTTGGAAGTCTCAGGGCATGCCTTCCAGGAGTGGATCGCTCTACTTCCTCTGGGGGGGGTGGGGGGAAAGGGAAGGAGCCTGCCAGTCAGTAACTAACCTAATAGGCTGGGGGGTGGGGGGGTGTCTCTCTCCCCACTCCCTAGAGACTGTGCTATCCGACGTGTTTCACCCCATTAGTGGTTTGGATCCATCCTTTCCCTTCTTCCACGGGCTCAGCTGCATCTCCTGCTTTCCACTCAGTTTCTCTTGAGTCTGCAATATTCTTGGCCTCTCTGCTTACTTGAGTCAGGTGTGCTTTCTAGGTGCTGTCAAATCTTTTAGTGGACCAATGTCAATAAGAACAGGTTTACATTATCCTCTGGACAAAACTTTTTCAGATTATCAAAGTATACTGGCTTATTTATAGAAATCTGAAAAATGAAGGAAAAATAGGACTTAAAAAAAATTGTTCACAATTTCTACACCTAATTACCTAGTACTTTGATGCTATTTTCTCATTTCTTTTCCACCTCTTGGAGATGTATTTTTAAATATAGATGAGGCTATATACAT